GGCGGTAGTAGGAGACGGACTCGTCAAAGGTGACGTCACGAGAGTGAAAGAAGCGGTGAGACGGCGGGTGGTAAAAGTGCCAGTCGGACGCGTCAAGGGGAAAACCGAGGAAGACGCAGGGAAGGGTGCGGGCAGTGAGCTTGTCCGTGCCGGAGGCACGGACGTGAGCAAGGCAGCCCCAGACGTGGAACGCAAACGCGTCACCAGGAGACCCAGTCCACAGACGGGTCGGCGAAACCTGCGGCTGCTGAGGGTGCGGCCACAAGTTAAGCTGGTGAGAAGCGTAGCGCACAGCGAACGGCCACAGAAAATGGGGTGCACCGGCATGGACCATGGAGGTGCGAGCGACCTCCATGACCAAGCCGATGCGTCGCTCAGCGACCCCATTCTGCTGTGGGGAGTCCGGTAGGGTGAACGTCTGGGTGATGCCCTCCGCACGACAAAAGCGACCAAGGACACCTGAGGCAAACTCGCCACCACGGTCTAAGTGAAGACGCAAGACAGGGAGACCGCGGTGGACACACGCAGAGACAAGCCAGGGGATGAGGGCGCCAGGCACGTCGGCCTTGCGCTCCAGGGGAAAGACTGTGGTGTAACGAGTGAAGTCGTCGACAAGCACAAGGAAGTAGCGCTCGCGACGCGGCCGAGGGACGGGGGCGGGGCCCCAGACGTCCAGGTGCAGGGTCTGCAGCGGCGCGACGGTAGGGGGGAACGAGGAGGAGTGAGGGGCACGGCGAAGCCGACCCTCGACACAAGGCGTGCAAGGTGGAGCTGGGGAGGAGGGAAACGCGGGGAGTGAACCTGGGAGACCAAGGACAAGACCGTGCTGGGACATGTGACGCAGACGCGGGAGCGCAGGGTGACCTAGGCGGTGGTGCCACAGGAGGGTCGGGTGAGTGAGGGAGCGACAGGAGCACGCAGCAGCAACCTGGGTAGACACAGCCACCTGAGGGGGCGCTCCAGCCGGGGGGGGCACGGTGTCCAGAGTGAACAGGCCGGACACCGGGTCCCGGGGGAACGTGGACAGGGGGGCACCAGTGGCGGCCTCGGTACAGACAGCATACCGCTCGTGACCAGGGAACGTAGTGGTGACGCCAAGGTCCTGGAGGCAGCCGACACCAACTAGGTTCCTGGAGAACGAGGGGATATGCAGACCTGTAAGAGAGCCCGACGGAACCGCCGGACAGGGAAGGGTGGTGGAACTGCGGGCAACTACCGGACCGCCGGAGGGGTCAGCAAGAGAAACGGCAGCAGGAACAGGAAGCGGCGTCAAGGTGGTGGAGTCGCGGAAGAAACACCGAGAGGCGCCAGAGTCCAAGGTGAAGGAAAGCGAAGCCGAGGGGTCTGGCGACGGAACGACGGCAGAAGCACCAAGACTACACAAAGCAGGGGATCCTACGCCTGACGCAGCAGGGGGGGCTAAGCTAGGCACACCTACACTAGGCAACAGTGAGTAATAAGTCGGAAGCACACTAGAGTCATCAGCATACATTACATGCAGAGCAGAAACAATGGCATCCATGTCCATATCAAAGATCTGAACCTGATGACTAAGCAAACTGTGCCAGTCCGGGAGGTCTGGCGACGGGCCGAAACGCTGACGAAAGAGGTCGTCCAGGCGACGAAAGCAGCGGGGAGTGGAGTGGCCGATCTTACCGCAAACGAAACCGCGGCGAGGACCGGTCTGGATCTGGTACTGACAACGCCCGCCGGAAGAGCCACCTCGCGGCACACCACCACGCGCCCGTCCACCGCCAGCGCCGGGCCACCCTGGCGGGAGAACACTCGTCTGCCGCGTCTGCGACGGCTGCTGCGGCTGCTGCGAAGGCTGCGACTGCGGCGGCTGCTGCGGCTGCTGCAACTGCAGGGGCGGCGACTCAGCTGGACTGGGCAGGGTCCCCTCGTCCGCTCCAGCACCAGGCGACCCGACCCCACCACTACCCCCACCCGCACCCCCGCCGCCCCCTCCGCCGCGCCCAGCCTTGGGGCGGCGGCCCTTCCCCGAACGGGCCTGCGCTGCAGCAGTAGTCTCAGCCACTGCGGCAGAGCCGTCGGAGAAGGTACACTGAGCAGGGGCACAACCCTGAAAGATAGGGACCGGCACGACACCGCTCGCCTGGGCGATGGAGCGGTGACGGGTCTCTATCACAGTCAGGGTGTCGACAAAGTCAGTGAGGGTGAGGTCTGCGGGGTGAACACTAAGGAAGCGGTCGCGGGCGACAGCAAGGCGGTCAGGGAGGCGGGTGGCAAGCAGGTAGAGGGTAGAGGTAATGGGCGGCTGGTGGGCTCTAAGCTGTGCGTCAGTGCAGGCGGCGCGCCAGGTCTCCTCTATCGAGCGCAGGTGGGCAGCGAGGTCAGAGACAGTGGGGAACGAAGCAAGGTCAGGAAAGAGCAGCGGGAGGATCAGGCGACCCACCGAGGCAGCCGGAGGGGTGGAATAGCGCTTGATGACAGCATCTAAGTATGCCTGAGCAGTAGTGAGGGACCTAAAGCGAGGACGCTCGGACGGGGGGAGGGCGTTGCTAATGGCAAGCTGGGCGACAGCATCGCGAGAAAGCCAGACAGAGCGCGCACGGGCAGTGGCAGCAGTAGACTTACGCTCAGTGGGTGTGGGGTCAGCGGGCAGAATAGCAGGAGGGTCTGGGCAGGGGAGCGTACCGTCAAGGTGTGCGGAAAGCGGTTCACCATCCTGCCGCTGGCCAGTGAGTTGGCGGCGGAGGTCGGCAAGCCACGCCTCGAACTCTAGGGGCTGACCTTTAGCGTCGAAGCGAAGCTCCGCCGCCATCAGGAACAGTCCAGTGTTGTGCAGGGCGGTGCAGTGCGGTGCAGTGCGATACAGTGCGGTGCAGTGCGGTGCAGTGTGGTACTGTGCGGTGCAGGGCGGTGCAGTGCGGTACTGTGCGGTGCAGTGCGGTGCAGTGCGGTGCAGGGCGGCACGGAGCAGGGCGGGGTGGGGGGGGGGGGGGGGGGGGGGAAACCGTACCAGTGAGGAGGACGGGGCCGGGGCTGGCCCGACGGGGCCGGGCTGATGCGACAGGGCCGGGACAGGGCGACGGGGCCGAGCGGGCGCGACGGGGCCGGGCTGGGGCGACGGGGCCGGGCGAGTGCGGCAGGGCCGGCCCGGTGCGACGGGGCCGGGCGAGCGGGACGGCGGCCGGGCTGGTGCGACGGGGCCGGGCGGCTGTGACGAGGCCGGGCAGGGTGCGACGGGGCCGGGCGGGTGCGACGGAGCCGGGCGGCTGCGACGGGGCCGGGCGAGCGCGACGGGCCGGGCAGGGTGCGACGGCGCCGGGCGGGCGCGACGGGGCCGGGCGGCAGCGACGGCGCCGGGCGGGCGCGACGGGGCCGGGCGGCGGCGACGGCGCCGGGCGGGCACGACGGGGCCGGGCGGCGGCGACGGGTACGACGAGGCCCAGGAGGGGCGCTATGGGGCCCAGGAGGGGCACGACGGGGGGCCCAGGAGAGGCGCAACGAGGCCCAGGAGGGGCGCTACGGGGCCTGGGAGGGGCGCGACGGGGCCTGGGAGGGGCGCGACGGGGCCCAGGAGGGGCGCTACAGGGCCCAAGGAGGGCGCGACGGGGCCCAGGAGGGGCGCTACGGGGCCCAGGAGGGACGCAACGAGGCCTGGGAGGAGCGCGACGGGGCCCAGGAGGGGCGCTAGGGGGCCTGGGAGGAGCGCGACGGGGCCTGGGAGGGGCGCGACGGGGCCTGGGAGGGCGTTACAGGGCCCAGGAGGGGCGCTACGAAGCCCAGGAGGGGCGCGACGAGGCCCAGGAGGGGGCGCTACGGGGCCCAGGAGGGGCGCGACGGGGCGCTACGGGGCTTGGGAGGAGCGCGACGGGGCCCAGGAGGGGCGCTAGAGGGCCTGGGAGGGGCGCGACGGGGCCTGGGAGGAGCGCGATGGGGCCTGGGAGGAGCGCGACGGGGCCTGGGAGGGCGTTACAGGACCCAGGAGGGGCGCGACGGAGCCCAGGAGGGGCGCGACGAGGCCTGGGAGGAGCGCGACGGGGCCCAGGAGGGGCGCTAGGGGGCCTGGGAGGAGCGCGACGGGGCCTGGGAGGGGCGCGACGAGGCCCAGGAGGGGCGCTACGGGGCCCAGGAGGGGCGCGACGGGGCGCTACGGGGCCTGGGAGGAGCGCGACGGGGCCCAGGAGGGGCGCTAGAGGGCCTGGGAGGGGCGCGATGGGGCCTGGGAGGAGCGCGATGGGGCCTGGGAGGAGCGCGACGGGGCCCAGGAGGGGCGCTAGGGGGCATGAGCGGAAGCGGTAGGTGGGGGGGGGATCCTACCTACGCGTGATACCATATCAGAAAATTGAATCATAGTGATAGGGGGAGAGTACACACAATATAGCTAAGTGTTGTACCCTCTAAGAGGCTACCCTATACAGTCTATACAAACATAACAAATAGACATGTTTGACAGCTTCTATCAGCAAAGCAGCATCATCAATTTCGGGTCGACTACTTTCCGCCCAGAAGGCGTTGGCAGGCGTGCAACAGGAGAGCACGAGGACAAATACAACGAGAACCACGAGATTCGCCAAGGTAGATCGAGCCATGCTGCCTACTTCCGGAAACTATCCAAAAGGAAGCGGAGGAGCCAGCGATGGCTTGTGATAAAGCTTGTGTAAGCAGGCTTATGTAGTTATCATTGACGCTTGCTTGCTTCGGCTTGATTGAAGGGGAAACTTGATACTGTAAGCCGCGGGAACGACTCGTCCTCTGCACCATTCGTGCAGTTGCTTGCATTTGTGGGAAGGCGAAGGCGAAGCCAAAGGCGAAGGGAAGGCGAAGCCACCAGCTCAGCAATTTGTGAGAATTTGTGCCCAGTTGGGAAATTCGATGTTGGAATTGGCATCCATCCTCGAATTGTGCGGTCCGCCAATTTGTATCCGGTACAAGGCTTAGTTCGTTACACACACTTGTTCAGTGAATGGGGTTTTTAAATGGAAATAGATATCGCATTCGTGAGACATCGTTTTCCAAGTGAAATGCTTCTAATATAAATAGGAAATAACATACGCCATGGTCCCTCGCACTTCATTATTCTCCCCCGTTACCTCTCCCCCAACCTTATTCAAGGCTACCTGATGGCAATGGCAACAACCAATTGCACTTTTTGTCAGCACTTCTCCCCCTTCCTGTCGTAGCACTTCCTTCCACCCCTCATTGCGCTCCTCCCTCTCGTAATCGCACCCGAATCAGTTGCCGCTCGTGCACTTCTTGAACTCCTTGTAAGCTTTCGCCTCACACTCGGACTTCTGAGGCTGCACCATACACCACTGCATCTCGGACTTGTACGTCTTGAGGCATCCCTTCCTACTGCTCCCACCATTATCGTCACGACCAGCATTATCCTTGTGGTTCTCATCATCACCACGGTGATTCTCCTCGTCCTTGCGCTTATTCTCCTCGTCCTTGCGCTTATTCTCCTCGTCCTTGCGCTTATTCTCCTCGTCCTTGCGCTTATTCTCCTCGTCCTTAGCGCTTATTCTCCTCGTCCTTTGCGCTTATTCTCCTCGTCCTTGCGCTTATTCTCCTCGTCCTTGCGCTTATTCTCCTCGTCCTTGCGCTTATTCTCCTCGTCCTTGCGCTTGTTCTCCTCGTCCTTGCGCTTATTCTCCTCGTCCTTGCGCTTATTCTCCTCGTCCTTGCGCTTAGTCTCCTCGTCCTTGCGCTTATTCTCCTCGTCCTTGCGCTTATTCTCCTCGTCCTTGCGCTTATTCTCCTCGTCCTTGCGTTTATTCTCCTCGTCCTTGCGTTTGTTCCACGCATCATGATCCTTGAGCACCCGCCTCATTCCACCAGCGGTCGGGCGTTCTGAACCTGCACGGAAAGATCCGTTGAAAGAAGAAGAAAACTCTCAAACTTCAACGCATAAAATTCCCGGTTAACTTGTCAACCGAGAAGAAAGAGACCTTCGAAGAGTTTAGGAAACGGGCATTGGCAGTGACAGTTTGAGTGACTGCAAGGGTCTATGTTCAACTTTAATACCTTCCGACCGAATAACCGGCCGGCCGTCTGCAGGCGTGGAATATGAGAGGGCGAGGACGAAAGCGATGAGAACCGCGAGCGTTACGAATGCAGAGAAGCGAGCCATGCTGCTGGACTCGTTACGAGTACCGCTGGCACTCGTAATTCAGAACTAGTACTATTTGTTCCAACTTGGAAATATCAGCTGAACTGGTCGAGTATCGCTTGGCGGCTCTTGCAAAAAGCGTGAGGATGGAGGTTACGACTCGAAGTCAAGTGAATAATGTGCTCCTATGAAGCGGCAGTAAGCTGGCTTTTATAATGTTCGGATTGTTCTCAGTTCAGGCCTCGAACGACAAAAACCACCGCGATTAGCGGGAAAGGGAAGCGTGGCGGCGCGAGATCAAGAGTGAGAATGCCTTCCGCAATTATGCCGACGTCGCTCCTAGTGCGTTTGGGAATCAGTTGGCTGCAGCAGCAGCGGCTCCTTTCGCTTGAAACCCAGCGAGCCGACTAAACAGTTTCGATGTGCACCTCCTTAACTTGAAACCCAGTGAGCTGATTGAGGAGTTTCGATGCGCGAAATTATTGACGCCCGTGAGCCCGCTTATATGTTTCGATGTGCGAAAGTATCAGGAGATACAAAGCAGGTGGGAGATGACGTTTCGATCCGCTACGTTTCTCGCTCAAAACCCTACCTAACCGTTTCAGGTCGCTAGAATTGCCTTCTGACTCGCATAGCATCCGACCCAACCGCAATAAAATATACGCGCGGGACACGCCCTAATTTGGCAGGGTGGTACATCCGCGACAATCGTGAATGGGTATGTCTGTTATACGAATCAAACATTGTGCTGGACAACTTCAAAGTTATCTAACAGTACCAACCAAGGCAGGTACATCAAAGTCCTATAAATTGCAGTATTCAAGGCGCGGTACATTTTGCAGACCCTACAGTGTGACCTTTGAGATGGGTTAAACTCAGTTCTCTGATGCATTGAGTTACAGTATGGTGCAGGTTACAGTATGGTGCACACCATAATCTGTTGTCTAGAGGGGGTTGGGATCCTTTCAAGCCCCCCCAAGCTCAGCAATGAAACAATGCGGCACCACAATGTGTGATGCCGTCAGTCGAAATTGTTAGCATACTGCCAGCATGGCTTTTGACAGGTGGAAGAAGCAGAAGACCATGGAGAGGCATATTGAGGGGAGCGAATCAAGTCAAAGCATTAGGGGAAGGGATAAAACAAATCCTTATTGCCATCACCACAAGGCAGGGTTGTCAGTCAAGCCAGAGAGGTCCACGTTAAACCCCTCCGTCCATGCCTCTGACCACAAAGAGGCAAAACCACCACCATTGCCAACATTACCAGCACTGGCACCACCAGTACCACTGCCGCCAGCATTGCCGCCTCCAGCACAAGCCATAAAGGCCGCAGCAGATCCCATGGCTGATGGAGTGGGAGGTTCAGGAGGAAACAACCGGCCCCATTGGCTAGTTCCCCAGCCTGTAGGTGTGGGGCATGGCAGCTCTGCTGTTGCTGCTATTGAGGCAGCAGCTGATGCTCCAGCTGTAGGCGTCAGTGCTGGTCCTCCTGCTGCTGGTGGTTCTGCTGCTGTTTCTTGGGATTCCGGGGGAAATCCGCCTTCCGAGCTGCACATTTCGGCAAAAGCGGCAGATGCCACATTGGCAACGTCCACCAATGGGGGAGGCGGAGGGGGCCTTTTCCGACGAATGTTTGGCGAAGCTGAGATGCTTGCTGGTGCTGCTTCTGCTCCACTTGGTGCCAGAGAAAAGGGCAAAGGAACACTGGACTTGGGCACGTGGTAATTTTCAACCTGACCGTCACATTCCATGCTTTCTGCCGTCTCCCCCTTCGCGGCTCCCGCTACTGCGTCCTCCCCGTTATAATTGCCCGAAATTTGCCCCAGTAGATCGTGGATGCACAGCTTATCCTCGTCGCGCACCTCTCCGCCAAACCCTTCCGCAACCGCCCGTGCTGATTCCGCACCGCCGCTCGATGCCTCCCCCTTCCCCGCTCTACCAACCGCGCATATCGGAAATTTGTGGAACGAGTTTACACCCGAAGTCGCTTCAGGCTGCTGCCCGGCGCCCTTCGCCACGACCTCCCCCTCCCACTGCAGAATCTCGGGCAGGCTTAATTCTCGGCTGTGATTGCCCTCCGTTGGGACGGACATGGACGAGGATTGTGGGTCTTCTACAGGCGATTTCTGCGAAGATTTCTGCGACTGCTCACAGAGTGACTCCGACGATTGCCGAATCTGCTTGTGCTCTTCCCCTGTCGTCGTTGGAAGCGGAACTGGAGGTTTTCGCGGCTGATGCTGTCGCTCCTGCGACAATTTCTTTCGCAAAAGTCGCACAGCTTTCCCTAACTCCGGCACCAGCGCGCACCCAGGATCAATCAGATCAGCCACCGATCGGCCAGCGTTTTCGCCGCGTAACGACGACGCAAGCGCCGACGAATTCACCCAATCCGAGCCCGAGCTAAGCGAGCAGTTGCTGGTAACATCATTACAGGATGCAAACCCCCGTTTCACCCTGCTGGACTGCAGATCGCCGAAGCTAGTCAGCTGAACTGGCGGTCTCTGGAGTTCGCTGTCAGGAGTTAGATTCGGTTCAGACGAAGATGTCGCGAGCTCGCCGAAGCGGTTCCCGAAATTTCGCGAAAGCGAGCTCCTTGTTACAGCACGGCACGTGGATGTTCGCAATAGCGGCGACTCGGCTAACCGGAGCGGGGAGACGTCACCGAGAGGAACCTGCGATTGCCGCGCCGCTGGCGTCGTCATCGCGCGAACGAACGGAGGAACCGATTCAGAGTTGGCCGCTCGGGAGGTCGTTTCGCGAGACGATTCAAAACCAGGAGAGTCGATACGGAACGGCCCGCTCGGCATCACAAGCAGCTTCGTAGACGAAACGGAACACGACGGCGATGAAACGGCCCGTACGGCGCCGTCAGGAGCCGAGAGCGACGTGAGATGCGGCGTCGCGTACGGCTCGAATGTGCACGGCTTCCGCTTCTTGACGGTCGGCGAAAAGGCGGGGTCCGTCAATTCTGCCGGCCACTGCCGGTTAGGCAGCCACGCTGGTGGCGCATCCTTGGTCTTCGCGGCGACGCGGAGGGCATCCATGAAGCTCATCGGGGAAAAAGCCATGGGAACCAAAGTAGAATCGTCCCAGGAAATCTCGTCAATATCGACGGCTGAGACACCAGAGGAACCTCCTATGCTGGGAAGATAGGCAGATTATTGCCTTGTAAGGGAGAACGCAGAGGAGTTCTCCGTAACGTGATTGGCTGTGTTGCGGCTGGTGTGCGCTCTTATTGACGAGCAGGTGCCCGTCGCGTCGGGCAAGCAGCTGCTGCCGAGGGATCTCCTGCTGCAGCGGACCTGCTATCGTGCTGCCTCGGAAATCAAGCTCCCAATGTTGCGGCTTGCCAAAAGATGGGAGATGCTAGGCGGGCACGTTCAAGCGGGGCGCTTTTGGCCGAGCTTGGAATTGGAAAGGGGAAGGAGGATTTTGCCGGCCAGCGGAAAGTAGTACAGTTGTTGTTCCCCCTCGGGGATCATCGGTGACAAGAGTCCGAGATTGTTGTGGGAACAGGGTTGCTGGCAGCAGCAGAGCGTGAGACAAAGCAAGGAATCTGGCTAACCCAACAACCCTGGGATGCCTGATCAGACAAGAGGTGTTAGGGGAAATGAGCGGACCAGGGTGAGAGCACGAAGGGGAGATGGCGTGATCAGAACTGAACCAATCAATTTGGGGCCTGAATGGCCGTGCTGCAGCTGCAGGAAGGCTGTAACGAATGGCGCGAGGTGAAGGTAGGCAGGCAGGCAGCAATGTGAGAAATGATGCAAGGCAGGGAGGGGAACGAAATTGAGGCAGGGAGGGGAGGGGAGGGGAGGGAAGAAAGGCCAAACAGAGCATAAGGGACCGCTGATGATCTGACAGGTTTTCTGGAGTCAAAGGGTTGGTTGGTTGGTATGGAACTTGGCAACAAATGGCAGGTGAGACGAATGGCATTCCACTTTCCGCTGCTGAGCGGAAGTTGACAATGATGACGAGGCAACGAGGGGCAAGAAGGCGCGGGCCACGTTGGTTGAAGGAAGTGGGAAGGCAAGGGTGTCTTCGAGGGTCTGCTGTACAGTACTAGTTCTGAGTGGACTGAAGTAGGAATTTGTCAGGATCTTTTAATGGGATCACTCGGCGGAAACAGAAATGATTGTGATAGAGAGAAGTGTTCTGCGTAAGACCCTGGTAGAATTTGCAACCGATTCCCAATATGTCTAGACCGATAAATAATATAGTCTTTCTCATGCACCCCAAACCAAAGCTCCTGAAGCCTAGGGCTGTCGGTTCAGCTGTTCATGCTGATCGCAACTTCGAGATGGGGCCATGAGCAAGATCCATGAATACACCTTGAGCTTGACAGAGAAACACAACTTTTCAGAGTGCCGGTAGACAAAAACGCGCAAGGGTTTTGTACAGCATCGTCATGGGCATTTGGGCCTTTTGCATGGGCACGAAGGTTACCGTTTTGATGTTTTGCAGGGTAGGTTTGAGTGGCATATTTTGGCGAGCCATTTTTTACTTAGTTAACCTGTGTTAAATTTCAGCGCTTTCGAGCGAGATTGAGTTTCTCTGGTGTAGCACCAAAGTAGTGGTTGGCAGGTGAGATGTTGAGTGAGTTTCTCTGGTTTGGTTTGCTCCCTTTTATACTCAGTGAAATATAGAGAGGGTTTGGAGTCGCATTTCAATTCCAAGTATTAGGGGCGTATTCCAAAGATTTATTACATTACGAAGTGAAGGTTCGTGTCGCAAAAATAACGGTTGCGTGGTTTGTGAGAATTTGTTTTCGAGTTTGTTCCTTGGCTGGTTGTCGGATGTTGAGAATGACCCCTGGCATCAAGACATCGCGACTCCATTTCGCTGCCAAATCAGCGTTCAGTTTCATGCGGCGATGCTCAAGCCACAAACAAACCCAGCAAGGCGTACGCACCTTTGCAAGCTCAACGAATGGCTCGCTGAGCTTCGCCGGAAGCTATTCCGAGCGCGGCTGAAAGTTTGAGGCGAAAATGGTTGCGGCGCACATCTTTCGTCTTGTGCCGCATGTTTGTCACCGCTGTCATGATAACGCTGCACTGCTGGCTATGTTCACGGCCCACGTTGAGTGGGCTGTTGCCCGTGTGCCAACGCTAATGGGCGGTGGTTTCTGATTGGGCTACGTATTGAGCTGAGCCTTAGGTGTGCTCCAGGTGTATCCGAAGCTGACTCCCCTGCGGGATGCAGTGCGGCGTGATCGGGCGCTGGGAGAGCGTTCGCAGGGGGGGAAGGTGGGCCAATCAACTACTGACAAGGCGTTCAGTCTGACGCGTACAATGTACTGTAACGCCCTTCCGTTTCAGCCACCCCTCTCTTGCTTGTGGCTAAGATCTAGTTTGGTGTGCTCTTAATGAAGGGCAGCGGCTGATCTGATCACGTGTGCATCAACTGCTACCCCATGCTCCATCAAACCGAACTGCTCACAACCACGAGGGAGTCCTCGTCAGATGACACTGTCCCCCTCAGCAAAGAGTTACTTGACATGTCACATGACCCACGTGCAGTACAGTTGCGTGAAACTTTGTCACGCGTGACACCAACAGATCGGGCTGCTCGGCACGTCGGGTCATGTCCGCAGGCTGAGGGACAGAAACGATTGGGTAACCTGATCCGTTGTGTCCGTCGACACAGCAAAATGGAGCACGCGAGACTCGCTGAATGTACTGCTGACGCTGGAACCCGTTACCAGACGTCTCAGTGGCACGTGACATGTCCCTACACGGCGGGACAACGAATCAATGCTGGAAACCGAAAGTAACCTTTTCGCAGTGGCCTGCTTCTGTCGGTGCACGGTGCCCTACAATCGCATATCCGGGGAGCATAGCCTCGCACTGAGCTATTGTGTCTCGTCACATGAAGTTCGCCCCTTCAACATCTTGTCGTTAAAACCACAGGCTAGAAAAGCATACCCTGGGCGCTCTTGAATAAACGACCCAGACTCGAGCACTACACTCCAAACGAGACGAGAAAGAGAAAAAAACAAGAGGCGACTAAATCGTCTTAGGGTTGCGGAGCTCTATTGTATAAAAAAGACAAAACAAAATGCTAGTATATTACTCAAATTAGAAGTACTACTAAAAAAATAACCCAAACTCGAAGTACACAACATTTAGAAGTATATATAAATGAAACATATTCGGTGTTTTTATATTATTCAAATTATGAACATGTCACGAATGCCAAGCGTGGAAACCGCCACCTAGAGCTGGTTCTTCTATTTCCATGTTTTAGATTCTTATGTTAATTTTCTGTGTTGTTTATTATTACGCTACAATTCTTACTTCATCTCGTTTTCGTTTTAGTGTCGTCAGTGTCGATACTATGCGATATGATTTCCCTGCCCAGTGGCAAAAGTTGCCACCTCGCAGGATTTTTTTTTTTTTTTTTTTTTTTTGCGCCTAGTGGCGAGGCTCGTCACGCGCACAATTTCTCGTCACTCGAAAATACTGTAAACGTCCAGTGACGTCGAATTTGTTCTGCCACCCGTTCTAATTTTTTTCCGTCAAAGCGATCCGGTTTTTTCAACGATGCGAATTACGATGCGTACTTTAAAGTGAGAGGTTATTGTCAAACATGTCTATGTGTTATGTTTGTATAGATTGTATAGGGTAGCCTCTTAGAGGGTACAACACTTAGCTATATTGTGTGTACTCTCTCTGTATCAACAACACTTCAATTTCTGATATGGTATCACGCGTAGGTAGGATCCCCCCCCCCACCTGCCGCTTCCGCTCGCCCCCCTAGCCCCGTCGCGACCCCCTAGCCCCGTCGCGCCCCTCCAGGCCCCGTCGCGCCCCTCCTGGGCCCCGTAGCGCCCCTCCTGGGCCCCGTAGCGTCCCTCCTGGGCCCCGTAGCGCCCCTCCTGGGCCCCGTCGCGCCCTCTCTGGGCCCTGTAGCGCCCCTCCTGGGCTCTGTCGCGCCCCTCCCAGACACCGTCGCGCCCCTCCTGGGTCCCGTCGCGCCCCTCCCAGGCCCCGTAGCGCCCCTCCTGGGACCCGTCGCGCCCTTCCTGGGCCCCGTAGCGCCCCTCCTGGGCCCCGTCGCGCCCCTCCCAGGCCCTGTAGCGCCCCTCCTGGGACCCGTCGCGCCCCTCCTGGGCCCCGTAGCGCCCCTCCTGGGCCCCGTCGCGCCCCTCCCAGGCCCTGTAGCGCCCCACCTGGGACCTGTCGCGCCCCTCCTTGGCCCCGTAGCGCCCCTCCTGGGCCCCGTCGCGTCCCTCCCAGGCCCCGTCGCGCCCCTCCCAGGCCCCGTCGCGCCCCTCCTGGGCCCCGTAGCGCCCCTCCTGGGCCCTGTCGCGCCCCTCCTGGGCCCCTGCAGCGCCCCTCCTGGGCCCCCCGTCGCGCCCGCCCGGTCCTGTCGCACCAGCCTGGCCCCGTCGCCCACGCTCGGCCCCGTCCTGCTCGCCCGGCCCCGTCGCAGCCGCCCGGCCCCGTCGCATCAGCCCGGCCCTGTCGCGCCCGCCCGGCGCCGTCGCACCGGCCCGGCCCTGTCGCCCCCCGCCTGGCCTAGTCGCCCCGGCCCGGCCCTGTCGCACCAGCCCGGCCTTCTCGCGCCCGCCCGGCCCCGTCGCGCCAGCCCGGCCCCGGCGTCCTCGCCCGGCCCGGTAGCACCTGCCCGGCCCCGCTGCCCCGGCCCCGTCCTCCTCCCTGGTACGGTTCCCCCCCACCTTGCCCAGCACAGCCCTGCACCGTACTGCCACGCACCACCCTGTACTGCCTTACACCGCACTGCACCGCACTGCACCTCACTGCACCGCACTGCACCGCACTGCACCGCACTGCACCGCACTGTACCGCACTGCACCGCACTGCACCGCACTGGACCGCCCTGCACCGCACTGTACCGCACTGCACCGCACTGCACCGCACTGTACTGCACTGCACTGCACCGCACCGCCCTGCACCGCACTGGACTGTTCCTGATTGCGGCGGAGCTTCGCTTCGACGCTGAAGGTCAGCCCCTAGAGTTCGAGGCGTGGCTTGCCGACCTCCGCCGCCAACTCACTGGCCAGCGGCAGGATGGTGAACCGCTTTCCGCACATCTTGACGGTACGCTCCCCTGCCCAGACCCTCCTGCTATTCTGCCCGCTGACCCCACACCCACTGAGCGTGAGTCTACTGCTGCCACTGCCCGTGCGCGCTCTGTCTGGCTTTCTCGCGATGCTGTCGCCCAGCTTGCCATTAGCAACGCCCTCCCCCCGTCCGAGCGTCCTCATTTTAGATCCCTCACTACTGCTCAGGCATACTTAGATGCTGCCATCAAGCGCTATTCCACCCCTCTGGCTGCCTCGGTGGGTCGCCTGATCCTCCCGCTGCTCTTTCCTGACCTTGCTTCGTTCCCCACTGTCTCTGACCTCGCTGCCCACCTGCGCTCGATAGAGGAGACCTGGCGCGCCGCCTGCACTGACGCACAGCTTAGAGCCCACCAGCCGCCCATTACCTCTACCCTCTACCTGCTTGCCACCCGCCTCCCTGACCGCCTTGCTGTCGCCCGCGACCGCTTCCTTAGTGTTCACCCCGCAGACCTCACCCTCACTGACTTTGTCGACACCCTGACTGTGATAGAGACCCGTCACCGCTCCATCGCCCAGGCGAGCGGTGTCGTGCCTGTCCCTATCTTTCAGGGTTGTGGCCCCGCTCAGTGCACCTTCTCCGACGGCTCTGCTGCAGTGGCTGAGACTGCTGCTGCAGCGCAGGCCCGTTCTGGGAAGGGCCG